GTCTATCGTTTAATATCTCTCCCATCCAAGTACTAAGCAGGCCTGGCCCTGCTTAGCTTCTGAGATCAGACGAGATTAGGCGTGTTCAGGGTGGTGCGGCCATAGACTGTCTTTTAATATCTCTATTCAGCCTTTCTGAAGCCTGTCCTGAATGTTTTCACGCGGTCCCAGCCATCCATACAGTGTTTCTGTGAGATGAGCCTCAGTTTCCCGCTAGCAGAAGGAGAAAGGAGACCAGGGACCTTCCCTCGGAACTGGGAATGGCCATGACCCCCCTTCGCTCTGTGTGCCGTGCACGCCTCCCAGGGCCTGTTGGGGCGTGGGCTGTGGGAGGCAGCAGCAGGCGTCTTGCTGTGGGTCCTCGCCTCTGCAGAGGGCCCGCCAGGCCACACGGAGAGTCTCATACTCGCTGGCTCAGGGCAAAAGATGCCTGTGGCTGCTCCTAATGTGGCTGCTTCTAACGTGGCTCCTAATATCAGTTTTGGTTACTTTCGCTGCGTTAGAAGAAAAACACCCCTTGTGTTCAGGCCGACGGTTTCTGTGGCAGATTCCTGGGATACAGTCTGAATTCATTCCTGATTCTGAGAAGGAACGAAAGCAAGTCCTTGGGGTTTCAAAGTGGAATTTAGGGCAATCTGCTTGACCTGGAGAGGATTCCCTGTGATGGACCAGCAAGGCTGCCTCCTCCTGGACTGGCCAGGGACTGTTTTGGACCCAGCAACGTCCAGGCTGGTGAAAATAGACGTTTTGGCTAACACTTAACCATTGTGCTTAATATGTACCTGACGTGGTTTTAAGTGGCTCTCGATCCTCATGACAACTTTATGAGGTAGGGACTGTTATGATCTCCGTTTCACTTGGGAGGGAACGCAGGCCCAGGGCGATTAGGTAACCTGCCCAGTGTCACACAGCTGGTAAGTGGAGCTGGGGTCTCAATCCAGGCAATCGTGGCTCCAGGCTCAGACTTCGGGAGATCTGAGGAAAGGATCAAAGTCAGGGGCCTGAATTAATAAGACACTGCTTTTCCAGGACACTTCATAGTTTGTAGTGCCTTTATGTGTTTCATGTACTCTCCATGACAACTCCGTGGGGCAGACATTCGTGTCCTTTTCATTTTGACAGAGCTAGAAACTGAGGCCTGGGGCATTCAGGGGTTTTCTTAGGGAAGCTGGATGGAGTGTGCCAAGGATGTGCAGAAAAGGAAACCGGCATATGTCATTGGTGGAAATGTAAATGGAAGAGTGTGAAGCTTCCTCAGATGCTTAAAAATAGAAGTAGCCTACAATCCAGCAATCCCACTGCTGGGTATGCATCCCAAGGAAATGAAAACAAACTGTTGACGAGATGCCTGCACTCACTCCCCTGTTTGTTGCATCATTATTCACAATAGCCAAGATATGGAAACGAGTCAAGTGTCTTTCAGTGGAAGAATGGGTAAAGAACACGCGCGTGTGTGTGTTTGTATAGACACAATGCGTATACACACACTCTCTGTGTATATGTAAACACACACACACATACACACAAAGAAATGTTATCCATGAGGAAGAAAGAAATCTTGCCATTTGCAACAACATGGTTGGACCTTGAGGATAATACATGCTAAGAGAGATTAGTCAGACAGAAAGACAAATACCACGTGATATCACTTCTATGTTGAATTTAAAAAAGCGAAACTCCTAGAAATGACTAGAATGGTGGTTACCAGGGGCTGGTTGGGAGGAGAGGTTGGTCCCTTCCCACGCGGGAGATGTTGGTCAAAGGGCACAAACGTGCTACTAGAGGATGAGGAAGTTCTGGAGATCAAGTGCACAGCACAGTGGCTCCAGCGAATGCTGCTCTCGTATATACGTGAGAGCCGCTAAGAGGCTAGATCTTGAATGTTCTCACCACAAGAAAGAAACGATGATTATGAAAGGTAATGGATGTGTTCACTAACGCTAGAGCAGCATTTTACGATATATAAATGTGTCAAATCAACATGTTGTATGCCTTGAACTTACTTGTTATATGTCAATTCTATCTCAAAAACAAAAAACGAATGTAAGGAGAGAAAAAAGAAACAACCCAAGAAAGCTGTTTTGGGGCCGCCCTTGACCCCGTGTGACTCCATGTCTGTCCATTTTCCATAATCAGGGCTGGGCAGCAGGGTTGGCTTTGCTAAGGCCAAGGCAGAACTCCCGCCTGCTTTCCGCCTGTGGCCTTGGCTGTGTCCTCAGCCCTGAGAGCCGTCAGTGCCTCGGCCTTTGTGTGCTGCCCCGACTGTGTGTTCATCGCAGTCGGTCTGAGCTGACTGAGCACAGCTGAGCAGGACAGTCCACAGAGCCTAGTGGACCCCAGCGCAGAACGGGGAGGGGCCCAGAAGCCAATAGAAGCTGGCAAAGAAAGTGGGGGCAGGCGGGACACTTCTTAAGGCCTGGGGAGGGGAATTTGTCTTTTATCTTGTGTGCTGAGACTTCGAGGAAGAGAATGGCAGGCTTGTGCTGGCCTTTAGGAGGCTGGGTTTAGTCTCTGTGTTCGAATGGGTTGGGGGCCTCACCTGGCTGAGTTCCCAAAGCCCGTCTTCCGAGTGTGCCTATGACTTCCTTCCGCAGCATGTCTGTCACCAAGTGTCGTCACTATCTCTCTGGGGCTGTAAGTTCTCAAAGGTCGCTGGCTTTTGTAGGACACTAGTGTCTGTCTTTTGTTTGCTGGCCGGTGGCTGCAACGCCCGCGCCTGGGCATCCTGGCCTTGTTTGACCCTCCCGTGGCAGTGCAAGGCTGGCATCATGGCGTTCCTGGTATCCAGAACTTACAGATGAGCCAGCTGGGCACCCAACCTAGAATTCTCCCTGGGATAGTTTCTTTCTCTGGAAAACTCCCACTGACCTTCCCAGATGCTTCCTCTCCTGTGACAGCAGTTGGCTTCCTCGCAGAATATGAGAGGTGCTGTCCCTAATCCCTGACAATACTTTCTCCATCCCAGATTTCATTGTGTTAGAGATATTTATCTTATTTTCCCAGGAAGCACCTTGAGGGAAGGGTCTGGTCTCTGTTATGTCTGTACCCAGCTCAGAATTAAATCCTTAATTGGGCACAGCCATCCAAGAATAGGTATTGTGCAGTGACAGACACAAACAGTTTTGTAGGCACTGGACTATAGCCATGAGTAGAGCAGAGGAAATTCCCCACCTGCCCTTGCAGGACTCAGCCTACCGGGTCCTCTGCCTGTGACCTCCCCTTCCATGAATACTTTCTGAGGGGCAGACTTCATGTGTCCTTCTTCAGACCTGGGGCAACATTTTCTTTCAAGAGAGGGTCTTTGACAACTTGAGAGACAACTTTAGAAGGGCTTCCTTTCAGGACAAGGGCGCATTTGCCTTATGTCCTCCAAACACTAACGGAACACAGCTCTCTGATGCTGGCAGGTTGTAGGTGTTTGCTAGGCATGTGTGGACTGGATTGGAATAGAAATAGGTAAGATTTTACTCCAGGAAGGGAAGGTGACCTGCCCGGGTCCACTCGGTCACTAGTCATGCACAATTAGGACACGGCCAGCCCCAAGAGTTCTCTGCAAAAGGAACTAGAGTTTAGAGGCAGACGGGCCTGACGAGACGCATTCAGACTACAAAAGAATTGGTTTGAATTCTAGACCTTGCCCCCAACCGGTTTTGTTCCCTCTCTTGGTATCTTCCCAGCTGCAGGACTCCCTTGTCAGTATTAGAAGCAGCAACACACTGAGGCCACTTGGCTGAGACAGGGCCCTGCCCAGAGGAACACAAAAGCCTGAAAGGCTAGAGAGAGGGGCATCTGAGAGCTCCCAAAGAATCCTCTTTCTCCAACACACTTACCCATCCGCTGTCAAGGCCACCGCAACCCAGAGAAAGGGCACCAGGACCAGGGCCCCGGCGTTTCTAACATCTCACCCTGTGGGAGCAGAAAGGATGGTGCGTGGCTTCGCCGCTCACCCAGCTGGGCACGTTACTGTCCTTCCTTGGGCCTCAGTTTCCACATGAGCCACATGAGGGAGTTGGACTGGATAAATGCTCTTTTGGCTCTTTGTGGGAAGGAGCAGGGAACTCTGGTGTCAGACACACCTGGTTTTTGACTGAAGGCAGCTTGAGATGTGGGGTCTGGGTGGCGGAAAGAGCTGCATGGGTTTTAGAGCCAGCCAGACACACTTGGGTCCCAGCCCTGGCTCTGCCCCTTGTTAGCTGGTTATCTGTGGTCAAGTTATATAACCTTCTGGAGGCTGGGTTTCTTTTTTATTTCTTTTTTAAAATGTTTGTTTATTTTTGAGAGACAGAGAGAGAGAGAGACAGAACGTGAGCAGGGGAAGGGCAGACAGAGAGGGGGGAGACACAGAATCCCAAGCAGCCTCCAGGCTCTGAGCCATCAGCACAGAGCCTGATGCGAGGCTCAAACTCATGAGCCTTGAGATCATGACCTGAGCCGAAGTCGACTGCTTAACTGACTGAGCCACCCAGGTGCCCTGGAGGCTGGGTTTCTGATGTAGGAAGAATGATGGGCCCTCTTCCCTGGGTGGTTGGGGGAAGTATCTATAATGTGATATTGCAGGCAAAGCATAGAACCCAGGGCTTGGCACGGAGAAAGCTACAATCAGCGTGGGTGATGGCAGTGGTATTTGGAGATGCTGACCACCTTGACAGGTGCCCTTGAGGCTGGGCAGGTAGGCACATGGTTTGAGAAGCTGCAGAGGGAGATACATAAAGAGATGTATATTTCCATCCAAAGGTTGCTCGCTCATTCTGGAACAGAGCCGTAGGAACCGGCAGATGACCGGTTCTACCTCCACAGGGACAGGCAAGCCCCAGGCTGCTGGCCAGGGCTGGGCCTGCCCTGCCATTTCCAAGCTCTGAACCTCCATGCAGCCCATGTGGGTGAATCCAGGTGCATCATGGGACTCTGGATGACTCCCAGGGCTGTGGCCCAGTCCTGACTTGCTCAGTGTACAGCCTGGGCAGAAGGTCTGTGTAAACATGCTCTCTACCCCTTTCCAGTGCGTCGATCCAAGGCTGCCGACGAAGAGAGGAGTCGCCGAGCCCAGCGCGCCAGGGATGAGTACCGGCGCCACTCACTCCGTGCCATCCAGAAGGGCACTGTCGCTGGCCTCAGCTCCATGTTCCGAGAGCTTGGCCAGAGCCATGAGCAGGAGGCCAGACTTTACCACCACCTTCCCGGCCCTGGGCCACCGCCACCCCTTGCCGTACCTGTCAGGTGGGTCTGAGGGACTCTGCAAATGCAGCCCTGGCTCTGCCCCAACCGCTGTGAAATTTGGAGCTAGCCATTTCCCTGCTGTGGGCCTCAGTGTCCCAGTCTGTATAATGGGGCAGGAGGGGATGATGAGGAGTCTGATTGGAGATTTCTAATAGCCCCGGAGTTCTGGGAGCCTCAATGGGTCTAGGATTCCTTTGAGAATCTAAAGAAAGCTGTCTACAGTCTTCCTTCCAAAGTGTGCATATGAACATACCTCAGAATGTTTGCATATTGTCAAACTCTTCAAGGTCCACAGAGCAGGTTAAGAACTTGTCATATAAGACCTCACATGGGTTACATGTGGTCCGGCAGCTTGGAAACCGGTGTTGGCTGCTAGTTCTAACCACAGGTAGTGCTAGTGCGTCCTGGTTCTGATAGGTTTGCAGGTGAGTGTGGTTGAGTGCAGGGGTCATCTCGGAGTGCTTTGGCAAGGACATCTTAGGTGACTGCCCATGATGCCAGGACCTGCCATCAAGAGGTTGCCCGAAGCCTCTCCTTAGAGCAGCCCCCAGGTTGGTCCCCCACACCTCCATCACCACCCAGCGACTCCTGCCCCAGGGAGGGTGGGCGGTGAGTGCTTGCTGCTTTCCCGGACCGCAGTTCATCTGCAGGAAAGGCCATTCACTCCTAAATGATGGTGGCTTGTCTGAGTTTTGCTTTAGTTGGGATTTGGGATTATTCATAACCACTTTCTCCCTCTCTCTACAGCCTAGGGATTGCTGACCATGTTCGCATTTCTTCCTTTCCTTCCTTCCTTCCTTCCTTCCTTCCTTCCTTCCTTCCTTCCTTCCTTCCTTCCTTCCCTTTTCCTTTCCTTTCTCCCTCTTTCCTTCCTTGCTCTCTTTCCTTCCTCCCTCTCTCTCCCTTCCCCTCCCCTCCTCTCCTCTCCTCTCCTTGTCATTGATGATTCACAAACCAGAAAGTTTAAAGAGAAATATGGAGGGGCACCTGGGTGACTCAGTTGGCCGAGTGTCCGACTTCGGCTCAGGTTATGTTCTCACAGTTCGTGGGTTCGAGCCCCGCGTTGGGCTCTGTGCTAGCTCAGAGCCTGGAGCCTGCTTCCGATAATGTGTCTCCCTCTCTCTCTGACCCTCCCCTGCTCACGCTGCCTCTCTCTCTCTCTCTCTCAAAAATAAATAAAGCATTAAAAAAAAGTTAAAAAAAGAGAAATAGGAAAAGACTGACTTCCATGCCTGCTTCCACCTCCATGGTTTTCCCTTGCTGCGCAGGTGGGAGCCCTGTTCTTAGCTGGTGCGTGCCTGCGCAGTTCCTTTATGTAGTTGCTGACACAAAAAGTCGTAGCCCAGTCTTTTTTTGTTGTTTTTAAGAAAAGGTTGCATACTGTACACATGGTTCTGCTTTTTATATCAATTCTTAGCTATTCTTTTATTTTTATTTAGTTTTCTTTTTTGAAATATTCATTTTTAAGTAATCTCTGCCCCCACCATGGGGCTCAAACTCACAACCTGGGGATTAAGAGTCGCATGCTCCACTGACTGAGCCAACCAGTGCCTCTATTTAGTTTTTCTTCTCTTTTCTTTTTTTTGGAGTGAGAGAGAGAGAGAGAGGGTGAGATGGAGGGGCACAGAGAGAGAGAGGGAGGGAGAGAATCCCAAGTAGGCTCCAGTCTGTCAGTGGAGAGTCCGAAGTAGGGTTTGATCCTGTGACCCTGGGATCATGACCTGAGCCAAGATCAAGGGTCGGACCCTTAACACACTGAGCCACCTAGGTGCCCCTAGTTTCCCTTTTTATAGTTACATCGTATTCCACTTCATAGATGGGCTAGAAGTTAATTACCAAAAGCTGCTAGTGGCCATTAGAGCTGTTTGCAACCTTTGGTTATTACCAGCTGTGCCCTCAAAGAACAGCCTGGGAGACACTCACCCGGCACAGGGGCGGCCACAGGAGGGAGGCCAAGGAGTGGCCACTTCGGGTGCCTCGGTCTGCTGCGCCTGCAGAGGAGTTTCCTTCATGGACGCTGATGTGTATGCCCTGTGATCCTCGAGGGGAAACGTGCCTTTTCTTGCCCTCAGACATCGCCTCCTGTCTTCTTTCCATTCCCACCTGTGTGGCTTTTTTCGAAGTAAGTGATAACAGTTCTCTCGGGGGAAAAGGAGTAACAGCTGGTACGTTATAATCTGCAGAGCGCCTTCAAGCACCTGGACTCATATAGTCGTCTCCACCGGCATGAGTGTGGGCATCGTGCTCATTCATCCTCCCAGGGGCCTTCCCTCCGCTCCCCTCCTCCTTCCCTCCCCCTCCCGCCCTTACTTTCCTCACCCCTGCTCTCCTCTCCGCAGGACTTGGGCGCGCCCACTGCGACCCGTCTCCAGGGAAATCATAGTCCGCTGGTTTAAGGAGGAGCAGCTGCCCCGCCGGGCCGGCTTTGAGAGGAACACCAGATCCATTGCCCCCTGGTTCCACGGTAGGATGGCTTCCCGGGCCCCCAAGGCAGATAATTTCCACATGTCCTCCTCTCTCTGGGGTTGGCAGGAGGTCCTGAAGGACTGCGGTCATCGGGCCTGTGGAGGACTTTGGACTCTGCCGTCCCCACAAAGACTGGCCAGTCTCCCAGGGTTAAGGGGTGGCTCTCCTGCGTTGCCTGCGTGGGAGGTCCCATGGCTGTCCTCTGGAATGTGCTGAGTTCAAGGTGCAGGTTGTGATTTCCCCGGGGCCTGAGCTGAATTACTGAGTGGCCTTCATCAAGTCCCTTAGGGACGAAGGCAGACATCTCCGAGCAGGAGTGGAGGACACTGGAGGCACCAGGGATTAGAATGTGCATTCCCCTCTCTCTGCTGGGGAGGGATGACACGATCTTGCATGCCACTTTCACTCACAGACTCCTGGACCACCAGGGGCTCCTCGGAGGTGCCTTCTCAATACACCCAACACAGTGAGCTCTCAGTGCACCACGAGCTCCTGGGAGGCAGGGCCCACATCTCGTTGTCTAAGCCTGCATCCTGGATCCTGTCCAGAGGCTGGCACACAGCAGGCTCTGAACACATGCTTGTTGATGAGATGACAGAATGGCTGAAGAGGTCAGAGTCACCCAAACATAGAACATGAGAGCTGGAAGGCTCCCTGGAAGTAAATTCCTCCTTTTGCAGATAAGGAAACAGATCCAAATCGGGGAGGAAGTTTGCATAATGTCACCAGCAGACTTGTAAAGCTCAAGAGTAATTCTCAAGCTCTTGACCCCTTGTCCAGTGGTCTGAACGTGTAAGAGGCCTCCAACAGGGAAACAGGATTGTGGTGTTAGTAGAGCCTCGGTACAGTGAAATCAGAGTGGCTACTGGCCTTCAGACTCCTCTGTATCAGTTAGCTATTGCTACATAACAAATCACCACCAAACTCAGTAGCTGAAAACAAATAAGCATTTATTATTTATTCATAGGTTTTTTAAATGTTTATTTATTTCTGAGAGAGAGAGAGACACAGAATCTGAAACAGGCTCCAGGCTCTGAGCTGTCAGCACAGAGCCCGATGCAGGCTGCAACCCACAAGCCATGAGATCATGACCTGAGCTGAAGTCGGATGCTTAACTGACAGCCACCCAGGGCTCCCCCAGTTTATTCATAAGTTTCTGAATTAACTAGGCAGTTCTAGAATGGGCCAGCCTCATGATCTGAGCTGAGCTTGCTTATGGGCCTGCAGACAGCAGGCTGGCTTATCCAGGATAGGCTTGACTGAGACATCTCTCTGCTCCATACGGTCTCTTATTCTCCAGCAGCCTGGCCAGACCATCAGGTTTCTCTGGATAAGTTGTCGCCAGGCCTTGCTCTCCGAGTCTTCCCTCCCTCATCAGCACTGAGCCCAGGTTGGCCTGAGGGCTCCTCTGGTCAGAATTGATCTCCCCTGCCATAGTTAGCATCCCTCGGACCCTTACTTGCCTTTGTTGCACTTCTGCCTGCTTCCTGGGGGCGTGGCCGGCCCCGCCTTGGCCTTGCCATGTGAACTACCCACCTGCTTCCTGGCCAGCTTCCAGGTGTTCTCAGTTCCATCCGGATGTAGAGATGACCCCAGCATCATAATGGGTACTAGAGACCATGGGATCCTAAGGGCTACTGGGGAGGCCCTCACAGGCCGGCCGTGGGTGTGGCTTCAGCTCCAGGAATGGCAGCTAAAGGGAAACCATGCAGACATCATTCAGGGGTGAGCAAGGCCATGCACGCCTTCATCCCCATCTTCAAGAGCCCCAAGAGTTTGTGAACTCCTAAGTGTAGGCAGTAGCAACGTTACAGATGGGATGACATGTGGCATTGTTCAGGGACTGGCCCAGGTCATAAAGGTCACAGAGGCACCATCCAGTTGATGCAAGATTGTCTTCACTGGCCTGCTTGTTTCACTCTGGCCGCTCTATAATTTATCATTCACACAGCATCCTGAGAATGTTTTAAATAGAAGTCAGATCCTGTCACTCCCTTGCTTAATAATACCCACTGCTCACTTCCCTTTATACTTGCAATGAACTTCAAACTTTATGCTGGGGCCTGCAAGGCCCCAGTTGATGGGTCTTGACTCCTGCTTCAGCCTCATACCACAATTCTCCCCTTGTCCACCATGCTTCCACGGCTCTGGCATTTTTCTTCTTCAGACAAGCCATCTTCTTTTCTACCCCAGGCCCTTTGCACTTGTCTTTAATCTGGTTGGTATTGCTCTTTCCCTAGCTTTTTCGCATGGGTGATGCATTCTTATTTCTCATCTCAAATATCCCCTTTCTGGAAAGGCCCTTTCCTGAATCTTTACCTAAAGCAGCCTTTGTCAGTTTCTCTCACTTTACTACACTTATCTCTCTAAGAGTGCTCACCAAGGGCTCCTGGGTGGCTTAGTCACTTACGCATGTGACTCTTGATTTCAGCTTAGGTCATGATCTCACTATTTGTGAGTTTGAGCTCCGCATCAGGCTCTGCTTCGATGGCACAGAGCTGCCCGGGATTCTCTGTCTCCATCTCTCTCTCCCTTTCTCTGTCTCTGAATAAATAAATAAACATTACAAAAAGAAGAATGCTCACCCAACTGATATTTATCTTGTCTGCTTTCGTCTGTTCTCCTACCTGAACATAAGCCTGTGAAACTAAGGACCTTATTCATTTTCCCCAGATGTCTACCATAGTAAGTGTCCAGGGGAAGAATGGATGAAGTGGAATTGTCAGAGTAGATCCCAGTCTTTCTGGTCGCAGTGAACAGCCATTGCTTCTGTGCACTGGGCCCTGGTGGGTGCATGGGTCCCCTCAGGGTCTGATGAGTGATGATAAGCTGGAGCCATCTGCTTGTAGATCCCCTCCTTCTCCGGACTTCCACTTATCCAACAGAAGTATGGAGAGGCTCTTTATGGCCCAAAAAGAAGGGAGTCAACATTCACTGGTGACTGAACCACACATCCTCGAAGCCGGTCCTGGGGGACACCCTGCCTCTCACTCCCAGTTACGCGTCCCTGTAGCCCTAAGAGCTTCCATTTGAATCGTTGCTTTCCTTGTCATCCATCCATTAGAATCATGGCGGCACAACAGTAGCCTCTCCGGCTCCTGCATAGAGCAGCTCAGGAGTTCTGTGGAGATGGGGTTTGCAGGGGCCCCGACTGCGTTGGCCTCCCTGTGGCCGCCAGCGGAGAAGGCACAGCCGAGGGCCTCACGTTGATCTCTAGCTTTATTTTCTCTCCTGTTGGAAAAAAAAATGTAATTTTTATATTGTCACAAAACAAACAGAACCATGATTTAAGTCTCGTCATTTATGGAACTGATTTCATGTTCTTTTGACAGTTCTATCATAAAGCATGTGAGAAAGTTGCTAATACACAGACGAGGGCTATTTAGTGACAGAGTTTTTATTGATCTGTGACTGAATGAAAGAAAAAGGCTCATGCACAGAGGGTGACCGACCGCCTTGGCTTGGAAAGGACCGCGTCGTATTCTCAGATGATATCTTTTCCTCCGTCTCAGTGTTCAAATGTTCCATCATCTTTTATGGATTGGTGGTGATAGTAAGCAGTAGTTATTTTCATATATTGCCTTTGCTCAGAAGAGCAAAAAAGGCAGCAGCTCCATCTTGGTTTCCAAACTCTTGGGAGTAACTTTGCTCATACCTAAAATCCCAAAGTCTGGAACTGCCGGTATGGTCCAGCTTCTGCCCCAACGTAGGCATTCCCTGACAGCTTCTCTGAGAGCCTCCCCCATACCGACCCTTCCAGAGAAGGAGCTACTGTCCATACCATGCACAGACAGCCTGCACCCAATTAATTCTTGCCATAGGTTGGCCGAGAGCTCTACTGATCTTGGCTGGACATCTTAGCGGGGGGGGGGGCTCCCTCCCTGTATCTCCCATGCTCCTCCTGGGGGCCAGCGGGCTAGCCCAGGCACGCTCTCCTCAGGGACCAGAGACCAGGTGGCATTCTAGGCCTGTGAATCTGGTCTTTGAAGCAGGACACTATTGCTTTCACCTCACGCCGCTGGCCGCGTTATGTCCCAGGGCTCAGGGGTGGGAGAATGTATTCTACTCCTTTCCTGTGAGGAAGACAAGGAGGGGAAGAAAATTTGAGTCAATAATGTCATCTGTTACAATCCCAATATAAATCTTTTCTTGGTAAAACAATTCTAGCTAATTTAGCTAGATTTTAGATGCAGGTTAAAAATGACCACTGTGGGGGCGCCTGGATGGCTCAGCTGGTTAAGCACCCGACTTTGGCTCAGGTCATGATCTCACAGTTCGTGGGTTCGAGCCCTGCGTTGGGCTCTGTGCTGACAGCTGAGCCTGGAGCCTGCTTCTAATTCTGTGTCTCCCTCTCTCTCTGACCCTCCCCTGCTCATGCTCTGTCTCTCTCTGTCTCAAAAATAAATAAATTGTAACAAAAAAAAAAAAATGACGACTGTGACTTCTAGTTCCTTCCCTTCCATCAAGCACATTTGGACGTGGTGTGGGGTATACCCCAAAGAGCTACGTGGACAAGGAGCCTGAAGATATGGGGCCCACTCTAGAACCCTGCAGCTCTGTGGCCTTGGACATGCCCTTTATTTATTTATTTATTTATTTATAAAAAGTGTTTATTTTTGTGAGAGAGAGAGTGAGAGCACGAGAGGAAAAGGGGCAGAGAGAGAGGGAGACACAGAATGGGGAGCAGGTTCGAGGCTCTGAACTGTCCGCACAGAGCCTGACGCGGAGCTTGAACTCACGAACCACGAGATCATGACCTGAGCCGAAGTCAGATGCTTAACCCACTGAGCCACCCAGGAACCCCTGGGCATGTCCTTTAAATGCCCATCTGTGAAATGGGGATTTTCACATTGATTTCTCAGGACTTCGGGAGACAAAGCCAACAAACGTGCTTTGTCTGCCCTAGTGAGTCCCGTCGCCCCAGCGAGCCCTGTCTGTGTGAGTGCTGGTGTCTCTCAGAGTCTGAGGTGGGTCATCAGAGACTCCACCCCCTCTGGG